TTTTGTAATTGGACAATAATGAACACATATTTTGTAACCGCAAATTTCATAAATATATTTCTAGAGTACCAACATAGTACAAAGCAACAAATATATCATTTTGGTCTAGATGTTAAGAAAGCAGGCTACAAACCTGGAGACTGAATTCTAGTCCCATCTTGGAAATGAAAGCCAGTTGGGTGACTTTAGGTCAAACCATCTCACAGAGGCTGCTGTTGTGGGAAAATAGGAGGAGGAAGGAATACTAGCCTTGTTTGCCACCTTAAGTTATTTATCAAAATAATGCAGGAGGGAGATAAAAAAAACAAAATAAAAAACAGGTACATCAGCTTCTTTCATTACACTGTGATTTATTTCTACAATCTGCCTCAATAAAAGAAGCAACATTGTAGAAGGCCTAATACAATATGAATAAACAATATTTTTAAGATGTTTATTTATAGCCTTGAAAAACAGGCCTTCTATATTATATCAGTTGATTTATATTTTTGTATACCATAAACACAATCATTTTATTTCTATTTTCCAGATGCAAGAGTTTGGAATGGAGGAATAAAAACAGATTCAACATTATTTATGCTGCAGATGAAACAATATTTTTTATCTTTATATGGAAATGAGGGTGCATGGATTTTGTTATAAGGCTAGTAAATTATAAACAATTTACTCTCCTATTTTCCAGATGCAATAGGGACTGGAAGCCAAACTACTTGGGAGAAATGGAGAGGGTTGCAGTATGACCTGATAATTATGAATTTTCCCAGAAGAAGCCCAGTTCTGTAAGATTTCTAGTACAACTCTGTAGATATTATGTACTGAGATAAGAATCTGTACTTTTAGATTCTTATTAAAAACTCACCCAAATCCCAAATCTTTGGAGAGTCATCAATCAATATAAATTTCCTCATTATATGGTCTTGACAGATGCTTACAACCCAGACGTTTTCAGTGGGATTTAAGAGGATTAACTCCACAACCTCCATAAAAAGTCCCAAGAAATGATGGGACTACATTCCGTTTCCTTTGTAGAAGCCCATTGTGAATTAATATACAGAAGCGGAATTTGCACACCTATGCAAAACTGTGTTCCAGGACCTTTTTGAAATATTAGAGTCCCTAAAGTATAATTTTCAGTTTTGAAGGATTCAGGACTAACTGATTTATTTTATGACTTATTTTGCTTTCCAATAGGACAGTCAAAGGCAAGACAATATTGTAGATATGCTTATGGGTATGTATGTCTATACATGTTTTAGAGAGAGAATAGCTATGAAATATATATCCATTCAACTGCAACAAGGTATTTGATGTTCTTCAAGTGTTGTGCTGCATTTGAAGTGGAGGGATACATTACTTTTGTAAGTAAGCAGTATGCATTTATTTAATCCTAACTAGAGGTTTTCATGAGTATAAGAATGTATTCTTTCAGTTATGGGCTCATCCATAGGCAGCCAAGCAGGTCAGCAATTAAAATGTCAGTTCTGGCAAGTCTATGGTTGATGAGCTTTGTGTTAAATCATGGAGAGATACACCCAAAGAGAAACGAAAAGCTAAATGTCAGAGTTACAATTAAATGCAAGCCAAACTTAGTATCATGAAATAATATTCTGACTTTAAGATGCCCCATAAATTGTCCTGGTCTAGTCTGATTATGAATGGGGCCAAGCCAAATATAATTGTTGACCATAGGCCCTAGATCTTATTACAAATTTTTCTGGTTATTTCTATTTTGGCTTGCTAATCAGTGGTACATACAGACCAGAGGTGGTATTCAGCAGGTTCTGACAAGTTCTGGAGAACCGGTAACATAAATTTTGAGAGAACTGGCAAATATCACCTCTGACTGGCCCCGCCCCCATCTGTTCTCTGCCTCCCAAGTCCCAGCTGGGACTTCTTTGGTTGCCCTGCACAGGAGAATGGAGCTGGAAAGCAGGTTGGTGGGGTGGGGAGGGAATGAGATTTTGCAGTAACCTTCCCCCAGGAGTGGGGAAGGAATGGAGATTTTGCAGTATCCTTCCCCTGCAATGCCCACCAAACCTCCCCCACAAAACCAATAGTAAAAGATTTTGAATCCCACCACTGATGCAGACCTCCAAACATCTAGCAAGAAATTAATAAGAGCCTTGACCAGGGAATTACAGTATTTCAGTAACTGCTATCTACTGATTGGAGTATAACAAAGACCTTTCTCCATTTAGGAGTAAAAGACCTGAGAGCTACTACTGCCTCTGTAAATTATTGTTAAAATTTCGGAGAATTTCTCTTAATCCACATTCTCGGTGCATCATAACTAGAAATAAAAATAAAGTCATATCTTAACTGGGCTGATTTAAGCAAAGTCAAACACATAATTGAAAGCACTTTTCATCTTCTTATCAGTGAAATCAGAATGAGGATAGTTCATTCAACCATGGCCTGACTTCTACTATTCTTGCACTGCTTTCTTTACCACTCCACAATCAAAAAATCTTGCCCATTGGAGGAGAATACATGATGGTGGCAGCACATTGTTAAGTGTGGAGTCCTTCATTCTGTCTGAGCTTCAGTTGTCTTGTTGCAGACATTTCATTACCTAACTAGATAGCATAATCAGTGCCGGGTGATAGTGGGGCTTCTAGCACAGATCAAGTTACCTAGTTGGCTAATGAAATGTCAGCCAAAGATGTCATAGTTCAATCCTGAATACAAATATTCTCTTCTATTGTGGTGTTGCAAGTTCATAATCCTATGGGAAAGAGACCAAGTCTGTCAGTAGCGCTTGACTTACAATCCTAATTGAGTTGTGATTCTGTTGTTAAGCAAGGCAGCTGTTAAATGAGGTTGCCACATTTTATGACCATCCCCATTGATGTTCCTTGTCAAAAGGTTGTAGAAGGGGATCACATGACCCATAGACCCCATCATAAATATGAACCAGTTGCCAAGCATCTCAATTTTGATCACTTGACTAAGGGTGATGCTGCAATGGTCGTAAGTGTAAAAAACAGTCCTAAATCATTTTTTTCAGTGATGCTGTAACTTTGAACAGTCACTAAATGAACTATTGTAAGTTGGGAACTACCTGTATAGTACTTTTGACATGAAAATAACTCTACAGCTTCATATATATATATATTTTACATTTGGGATCTGAAATCTCAGTCCTTTTTTTCTTGGACATGAGAGAAGATGCTTGGGAAATGTGCCTTGCCATTACTGCAAATGTGCTAAGGAAGACTTGTGGTACACAAGGGACAATAGATGGCAGGTGGATTTATCTAACTCCTGCACATGTTTTCTACCCTCTTGTTAGGAACCTGGAAAAATCCTACCTGACATGGATTAATATCTAATTAGATTGTAGCAATTTGATGCAATTATTGTTTGGTGAACATTGAATATTAATTCACATCGTGTACTTTCAGCAGAGAATGCTGTGAGACATTTAAAAATTAATGTCCTCAGCAGTATATATAAGCTTGAATAAATTAGGTCCTGATTTTCTTTTGCTGTATTGTACAACAGAGGATCATTAGCAGTTTAAAAGTTCATAGTTGCGTTTTGAGAATTGATCATGAAATTATAAATACATACCACTTTGGAGAAGGTATTGCATTTCTCCTGTTATTTGAGGTACCTCTTTTTTGTATAGAGAGGAAAATGATTTTTTTTTCTTTTTCCTCTTTCACTCCTCTCCCTTTTGAGTTTGTTTTAATGTCATAGGTGAAAGGCTATCAGATTTAGGGCTTGAAGTAAGAAGATCCAACTCTTTTCCTTAGTTCAGCTGAACTGTTTACTCCAGGCATCATGAAAGTTGAGCCAGTTTTGACTCTCCAGCGCATTTATTCAGAGTTCAGGTTGTGTTTTTCTAGTATTTGGTTGAAAGCTTCCACTGTTGTGATAGGGCAATGGCCTCAGTTCTCCAGGGGAATGTCATGTCACTACTTTGGGTAACAAGTATTATTTGCAAGCAAATACTTGCCTACTTTCATATTCAAAGGGGAAATAGTTGACACTCAAATGGCCTTTAGAAATGATGTACCTAAAAGAATGTTATCCTACTCAGTCCAAATTAGAAAAATGGTTTTAGAAAAATTAGAGTTTTTCCTCAACCATGAGGAAAAATACAAAACTGTCAAGTGCTAGGGAATTCAGGAGATTCAGGCAGTTCAAATGAGTATAAAGATTTATTGCAAGCTTAAACTCTCTACAAAAATCTGAGCTAATCTGAGCCAAAGGAAATGAGCAAGAATAGGAAGGCATTCAGTGTGGGCTGGACTTAAATTTCTTGTGAGTGCATAGGGACTCATGATTTATAACGTGTTTGACCCCTCCCTTGGGCACAGCCTCTCCTCCAAAACACTGCTTAAATAATTAAAATGAACTTTCTTTTGTTCTCATTCTCATACTTCCTTATTGCTAGCCTTGTATTAAGCTGGGAGAAAAAAACAACATGAAGAATATTCACAACACATTTATTGTATACGGAAACCCATCCAAATTTCACTTCAGCATCCGAGATTACCAAGCAATGAGAAACCTGTCACTATTTTCCTCATGTACATCTCTGACTTTTTGGTATGATATATTTAGTAAATGTATATGCCACCCATCTCACTGTCATGCAACTTATATTTGAAAGGCATTCTTATATATTGGGAATGAGCTAAAAGAAGAAACCACTTAATTATTTTGAGCCAATCTAGCCTACATAATGCAACCCAATATTCTCTACTCAGTCACCTTTTCTGCACCAATCTAGCTTAGTTAATGCACAGTACCATTTAGCTGCAAAGCAGGAAGAGCATGGCTATTGTGATCCATCCAGTCTAAAGGGGGTTATCCAGTTCTCCATTCATAATATTGTATGCTGGGCAAATCTTTGAAGAAATGCTTTGATTCAGTGAAATTTTAAGCAAACTCCTCCTTTCCAATTGAAGCAATACCAAACTGCTGGATCACAGCAGCTGCCTTACTACGTCCAGATATTTTTTAAAAAGGCTTCTCCACCTTTCTATCAGATCGAAGTGGGTTGACAAGATCAGGTCAGCTCACTTCAGTACTTCATCTAAAGGCATCAGGAAGACTAATTCAATCAAGTGCAACTTTGAAATAGAGTATGATCAAAGAGAAAGTTTGTAGCTCGGGGTTGAACTGTTGGGTCCTTGGTGCTCTCTAATCTTGGCTCTTTCCTTGCAGATGTTTCACTACCAAACTAAGCAACATCATCAGTGCTAGAAGGGAGTGGGGTTTCCTCTCTGTTTATATACAAGTGACTTGCCCTGTCAGTATGGTAGGAGTGTTCTTTACAATCAAGATCAAGTGAGGTACTAATACCACTCTATAAAGCCTTACCAAGACTACACCTATAGTACTTTATCCAGTGTTGGTCACCACACTATAAAAAGATTTTGAGACTCTAGAAAAAGTACAGAGAAGAGCAACCAGGATGATTAGGGGACTGGAGACTAAAACATATGAAGAACAGTTACAGGAACTGGTCATGGCTAGTCTAGTGAAGAGAAAGACCACGGGAGACATGATAGCAGTGTTCCTATATTTGAGGGGCTGCCACAGAGAGGAATGGGTCGAGCTATTTTCTAAAGCACCTGAAGTCCAGACAAGGAATAATGGATGGAAACTGAACAAGGAGAGATTTAACCTGGAAATAAGGAGAAATTTTCTGACAGTGAGAACAATCAACCAATCGCTTGCCCTTGGAAGTTGTGGAAGCGCAATCACTTGAGACTTTCAAGTTATTGAAATTCAAGTTATTGACTTTCAAGTTATTGAATAGTTATTGCTATTTGTCAGAAATGGTGTAGGGTCTCTCACTTGGGCAGGGGTTGGACTAGATGACCTAAAAGATCCCTTCCAACTTTGATTATCTGTTATAATATTTGGGTTCCTTGATTAGACTGTTGTTTACTGTTTGATTGTTTCTCTCAATTCCTTGATGGAAGTATTTTTTACTGCTTGATTCAGTGGTGGTGTTCAGCCAGTTCACACCAGTTCAGAAGAACCAGTTGTTAACTTTTTAAGCAGTTTGATGAACTGTTGTTGGAAGAAATCACTAGAGCAGAGAACCGGTTGTTAAATTATTTGAATCCCACCACTGCCTTGATTGTTGGACTAATATTAATCTTGGTGTAAATCTCCTTGAATTAAATTGCTTAATTGTCTGGATTAAGAGAATGCCTTAAAGCAGAATACAGTGGAGACACTTTACATGGACTTAGAAGACAGTCTAGGACCGTGATGGTGAACCTATGACATACGTGCCAGAAGTGGCATGCAGAGCCCCTTCTGCCGGCATGTGAGATGTCGTCCAGAAGAGCCCCACCAGCTGATTGTCAGGTATCTGCTGAACATGCACGGGGGGAGACGCGCATGTGGGAGATGTGCAGGCATGTGCAGAGGGGGTTGCATGCACATGCACAGAGGCATGTGATATGTGGCAGTTGTGTGCATATGCATAGAGACGTGTGGTGCAGGGGGGTCACACGTACATGCTCAGAGGCACATGCTGTGCATGCATAGGGTGCGCGTGCAGGGAGCAGGGGGACTCACGCATGCATTGCATCATGGGTGCAGGCATGCGAGCGCACGCACATACACACACTTTTGGCATGCAACGGGGAAAACATTCGACATCACGGGTCTAGGATTTTACTGATTCATTGTTTAACAATGTCATACCAAGAAAGACTTTGCTAAGCCACTGCTCTTTATTACAAGAGATGGTTGCAAGATTTTTTTTATCCCACACTCGCCCAAACATTAACAGTTCTATCATCTGACTGGAAAATCTATCCATAAAAGTTAAAATAAAAACTGGTCTGTACTTTAATGTCTTTAGGAAAAACTCTCCTTCCTCTCCCACAATTGTCATGAACAGATTTGGAAGACACACAAACTGTAAAATATACCAACCTAGACCTGTAGAACAGCTGGTGCTAAATAAGATGAATTAAATTTTATTTGCAAGAAGTTTTAATTAACTCTTTACTTTATATCTCAGTTTTATGTTATATGGTTCATTCAAGGTTTCTTATTTTATTACTAATTATTATTGTTTTTTTCCATGCATGCCATTTCAGTGGAAAAGCAATAAATGAGGAAGATGATGCTCATGTCTATTTTATAAATTTTCACCAAATATGGCATCCATATTTTAAGGATATCTTCTCAGGGTGATCCATTATGCTTGTCTTTGTGTAAAGCAAGGCGAATTCTGGCAAAAAATAGCAGGAACTAAAAGGCTCAGAAAGAAATTGTATGATCTAGTTGGAAAATTTTGTTTCACAGATATTGATCTCACGTCATTGTAACTTGAATGTATTATAGAAATGCAATAACAAAAGTTCTATTCCCACCAATGTTCTGTTCTGCTCATTTGGCAAATTTGGCGTTTGCTCACTGAAGGGTTCAATCCATGTCTCATTCTTTTTTCATGGATAGTTTTCTATCCTAGCTCAATCAAGCCTTGACAGAAATTTTGCTTTAGTTTTTTAAAAAAATCATATGATAATTGTCTGTGTGTGTGTGCGCACGCGCGCATGTGTATGCTGAAGTCCAATCTTATGTTCTTTCACAAAATGTAAACAACATTTCAAGAGAACATTTAGGAATAATATCTTGAGGGAACAGCTCATGCCCTTTGGAATTTAAATCTGATTAGCTGAATATATTTCAATACATTGTATATATCAGAGTTTTAGGAATTTCCCTGAATAAATTGTGCAATTGGCACATTTAAATTATATTTGGTCTTATATTAACATCACTTTAAAATGACTTTAATGGAATATTTTAATCTTTTTCTCCTTAGACCATTGCCTAAAAATGTTGTCTTTTCTCTGGTCATAATGGAATTTCAGACTTGAATAGAAAATGTTTTGCCATATTTTTCTTAGCTCATCTTATTAACTTGTCTGAATGATCTTTGCATATGTTAGCAAATAAAGTAATGTAATATAAAATTGTTTTTTAAAAGCCCCATGAGATATGCTAGAACAAGCCTTTAAAATTCAGGAAAAAAAGCCACCAATATACTACATATGCTATTTTTGCAGAAATTATCCGTAACAGTTTTGATCAATTCTTACATAGCCATCTGTTTTTCATCAAATGTCTATTCATTAAATACCACTATAATTCGTATCTGTAAACAATCTAAAGACATTTTAAAATTAACATAACACAATAAAATTCATAAGCCACAGAAAACATGTTCATAAATTTAAATTTCAGCACCCTCAGTGTGGAGAAACATTATCAGTTAAAAATATCAAAAGAACATTATCTTAGACACCAAACTCTTGAGTAAGTTATCTGAATGATTTAAAAGGGTGTTGCAGTAGAGAATGTCTAACTTCTGGGGTCCAGGAACATACAGGGTCCTGCCAAAGCCCAAAGAACAGGACCTTGGACAGCACCCACTGGTGGCTCCCAGTAATGCTAAAAGGCCTAACAAAGGTCAAAACCCAAGTGAACCATTTCCAATACAATGCTGAGAAACTACTTGGTATTCAAAGTGGTATTTCTGGTGGTTATGGTCAAAGAATGTAACCATGAAAAGCAAGACTCAGCTTAAAAACAAACAAACAAACAAAGTCCTATTCCATATCTGCTTTTCAGTTGATGACCAAAAAGAATGTGGAAGTTGAGTCATGACCAGTGGATTTCTTTTCTTTGTTGGCTTGAAACGTTTTGCTGAAAAAGCAACAAAATATTTCAAATAAAAAAAAAGAAAAGAAGTCCAGTTGCCATTACTCAACTTCCAGACAACTCTACCTGGATAACTGAATATCTTCATCAACACAAGACCAACAAGAACTTAAGCAACAAAAGAAAATTGATGTGAAGTAAAGATTTCCTGAGAGGTACAAAGGTATAATTCAGAATGTGTGTAGAAAAAATGGCAAACAGATAATTCCATTAAAAGCATACTTCTTTTGCTATTACTTATAAAATTGTAAAATATTTTTCAGTTATTAGGAATCTTTGGATCAATAAGCACTGAAACTTTGACTGGTACTTTGAATCACAGTACTTAATAGGTTTTCTTGACTCCTTAACTAAATAAGTTTCAGTTTCTTATGTTTAAAGACTTTGAAAAACGGAAATAACAGCAAATGGGAGGTTAGAACATTGCTTTTGGAAATTTACAGATGGACTAAGAGTACAGATAAATTTGAAATAAGATTTTGGAATTTATATAACTTCATTAAATTTCAATAGAGTGACAAATGCCTCTTTATATTGAATTTACAAAAAAGCTTGTTAAAGCTTGGAAGAATTTTGTGTGAAGGGATAAAGGAAAAATAAAAAGAAATCAAATTCTAGGAAATTATTTGAAAGGATTAAAGATCAGGAAACTTAAATGTAATATAAAGTTGGTTTATTTGATCAAGGTTTAAATAGATATGTTGTTATCTCTGGTAACCCTTTAAAGGCCCTTTTCTGATCAGAACCAAGCAAGAAACTTTAAGGCTTTATTTATAGATAAGAGTTAAAGTATGGGAAGAAGATATTATTTATTATATATTAGGAGATGGTGATAAATTACTAAAAAAAATAAACTTATTGTGATAAAGGAGGAAGTCATTTCTTTATTTTTTTTACTTTACAATATTCTTATTTTTTAAACTTCTTTTCTGTTTTTTTCTTTTCTGCACTTTTCATTTTTTTCTTTTTTAGTTTGCATTAGTTTTTAATCTTTTTAATTGCAAGTTTATTTTTATTACTTAAACAATGAGTTTAAATTTAATTCATACAAGATGTTTGAGTTCCACAAGTATTCTGTATTCATTTGTTAATGATTAAGATGTTATTAATTGTAGGAATGTGCCAGATTTCAAGCACAAAGCAAACATATTGTTTGCTCTGCCAAATCACAGGTTTCATGATAATGCATTTAATATGTCAGACTTTCTCTGAGTTAAACTAACTCGTGGATAATTTCATTTGCCAATCAGGAACCCCCTGGATAACAAGGGCATTGTGAAACCATAACAGTGAATTCAGATAACAAATGTCAGTTTGACAGTTCTCCAGAGGCATCCTCTTATGTTTATATCATTTCACCTTGAGTCAAAAAGAAAACACCCCTATATACACAAATCCAAACTGGCGCTGCAGAGAATATTTTACCATGCTAAAGTCTAAGTGCAGAGAAGTCCAAATCCATCACTATGTTCTCTATTCCCACTGCTCTCCACTTCCTGCTCTAATGATGTAGCCCCAGGTGGATAATCCACAGTCTCTGGACTGTAACCAACCTTTGCCCAGCTCTTTTTTTGACCTCTAAGACCCCAGGCATTGTATGGCTAAATAAATGCAATGGCATGAGTTTTCATGAATTTCTTCAATCCCCACAACCACTGTTAACTATAAATCCTAGTTCTCGTCAGAAGGAAGGTTTGACTAATGAAGAAAATGTATGCCCAATACATTTCTCCCTATTAGCTGAAGTCGTTTCAGAGAATTCCAAGTCTTTGCCTGTTGAAGGAAAAGACTCGTTTAAATGAGGAATCTATGTGATTGGAAATAGATGCCATAAGGTACCTTTTATGCACGACTATGGTGATTACTGGGGTCTTTGTTACTTTCTATTGAATAAATGCTCCTTTTCCCGTGCAAAAACAGGATGTGCTTGGCTCAAAATAATAATATGGAAGGTGATCATGCTCTAAATTTTCCTGCTCTGTGATTAATGCAATAGCTTAAGAAAATGGCATTCATAATAGGTCGCAATCCCCAGCACTCCTAATCATAAGGATGTAAGGAAATCTTATTTGCTTGAAAAAGGACTCAAACAGGACTTTCTTCTCTTTGGCAAAGCAATTAAAATACCTCATCTGAATCCCCCCAAGGAGGAATGACTGAGAATAAAGTTCCCTGTGATTAATTACAGAAAGGGCAGCTAGCTGAGGACATCAGAGTAAGATGGGAGTCAGAAAAGATCTAGCAACAAGGTATGGAAAGGGAAATTGCACAATTAAAATAAATTTGGCAATGCTCTGTATTAAGCAGCAAGTAATGAGTGAGAAGCTTGTTTTCTTTTTTTTCTTTTCAATAGGCCAATGCAAGTTGGCTTTGAAAGAATAAGACCTTTCACAATCTCATCAATTAATTAGTTTGAAAAGTGTTTGACTTTCATGTATGTTATCATTTCCTCAAGCTTAATAAGTTTAACTTTGAGACAATATTAAAAGATTAAGGGATAAACTGGAGATCTTTTGATTGCTTAATAACATGAGTCTTTGGAGCACAGTAAATTTGGAGCGGACCGACTGTAAAGCAAAATATATCCTTATCCCTGCAGCATTAGACAGTTTCATCTTTTCCATTCTTGAATTTTATAAAGATTTACTGTATGAAGCAATTGTTTCAGCTGGTTCATAAGGACTATGTTCATTCATAAATCCTGTCTCCACATCAGTCTAAGGTTATTTTCAAACAGCACAAAAAGTACACCATTCACAGACATGTTACTCTAAACATTTGAACATTTCATTCTGAAGCCACAAATCCCAAAATTAATTACATGTGCAACTTAATTCTTAGTTTTTGAAGTTATGAACTGCAATAAAATGTACGAAAGCCAATGATTAGTTCTTTTTTACATGTGTTAATCAGAGGAAAAGTTCGATTCATTTCAAAATGAAGACCGCGCATAATTTTTGTGTCACGAATGAAGGTGAATATACATGTCCCAGGACCCTGCATAATTTTTGTATGTCCTTAGTTCTTGGGAGACTCCAGCGCTCAGCATGGAATTCAACCATAGACTATCTTATGGAAAGAAACAATAAAAATTATATTATATGAAAAATGACCAATCAGGTTGGAATTAGTGTTTTATAGAAGAAATAATCTATAGCCCCTCAGCCTCTTGTAGCCCATTAGGCTAATTTTATGCAATCTTCAATGTAATTTTAAGCTTAATCCTGGAAAAAGTTTTTGTTCTCAATTCAGGAGAGAGAAATTAAAGTGCCAGGATGAGTAAAATGGCAGTCAGATATATGTAGTTCAAATAACACCCATCCCACTTCTGGCCCCAAGATCTCACTGCAGGCTCTTTTGGCTTCTACTACTATATAGAACCAACTCATCCAGGAGGGATATAACCTTGAATAACATGTTTAAGAATTGTCTTCCTAGTCTTATAGAATGGGATTGTGACCAAAAAGAGAAGCAGAAAGACAGAATGGAGTATAATGTAAGAAGGTTTAGGCTAAAACACACAAATGCTTTATTTTATGCCAGGCATCTTGAAAATTGGCTCAACATATACTGCATATTTGTTTCTGATGGTTAAAAAATGAATGTGGGACACCTTCTATCTAGAATATACTAATATTCTTGTTGCAGGGATTTGTTTCAGAAGCTCTTCCTGCCCAACCTATGGAAGACGATAAAACTGATCACTCTGTTTCTGTTGATGTGATTTTATGGATTCTTAGCATCTGGGATGAGGAGATAGCTTATCCATACACTGGATAATACTGTCTAGTAGTGGGATTCAAATAATTTAACAACCGGTTCATCCAGGATCAGGTTGTCTGTTGTGGGAGGCATGGCCCATCCCCTTCCTCCAGCTCCACTGTACATGTGGGATGAGCGTCCTGCAATGGCCAACCTGACCCTGGGTGAACTAGTTGTTAAATTACATCCCCACCCACACCCAAGCTAACAAAGTGAATCCTGGATATTGTGCTGTGCTGCAATGGAGAAATGGGCAACAGAGTGGTTGACATGAGGGAAGGAGGAAGAGCAGGGAGAAGAAAGAGAGAAATTGGCCTCCTCCTCTTGTGCTGTCTGCTCCGTTGCCCGTTTGTCCACTGCAGCACAGTGCAGCACCCAGGATCCATTTTGATAGAGGGGGAGGGGTGTGTGTAATTTAATAACCACTGTTCTTGAACTGGTGTGAACTGACTGAATTCCACCACTGGTAAGGTCTCTTCTTGTATATGTTGTATGATGGTGGACAAGATGTTAAACTTAAAATACCTGAATAAAAAAAGTTGAAAGTGTATGCTTATAAGAAACATCAACTTCAAAGATACATACATCATCTTTATTTACAACCAAAGACCAAACAAAAATATATTCAACTTTAGCAAAACTTTTGCAAAGCCTGTTCTTCTCTAAAGCACCATAGTTGAATTTTCTCTTTTTCATAATTGTCGTAACCAAGAACAGCCACTGCCTGAAACAATTGCTCAACTAGGACTACCTGTATTTCTGCAACTGAGTTGGGTATAATGTCAGCAGGATAGTCAATAGGGAATTTTCCAATGGATAGAGTGGATAAAGGGAAGATGCTATATTCTTACCCTGTGTACAATTTGCATTGGTTCAGTGTTCACCTTAAGTTTAGTTTTTACTGAATCCATTGTAGGTAGAAGGGTTTTTCATCTGGTCACATGTACAGTAGGAGAAGACTAGAAAAAGTTCGATTTTTGTTATGATGGTCTAATTGAATTCAGGTTTATTTGTTATCTGTAATTGTGTTGGTTCAGACTAGGTTGCAGAATATCTAAGGATATTATAATTTCAAAGAAAGTTGAAAACAGCCAAGAATTGTAACAGAAAAGACTGACTGAAAAGACTGAAAATATTTCTTTTATAAACCATACATGATGGAAATAAAGGCATGAAGCATGACTGACAGGTGTAGGATCAGAAATGATCCCCCAAAGAAAAATATATGACATCAGTAGTGTAATCCTACCTTAATCGCTACTGGTTTGGTGGATGATCGCATGCACGCCCACCTAACAAGCCAATCAGCTGAGATGATGAAGAAACAAAAAGCTAGGAGCAACTTCCCACCCTGCCATGTGCTTTTCGGTCTTTTATCCTCTCAGCTGATTGTCAGGGATTTTTTTTCCCTCCTCTCAGCTGATTGGAGGCTTACCGGTAGTGATTTTTACTACTGGTTTGGCCAAACCAGGCCGAACTGGTAGTATACTACCTCTGCATGACATGCCTAAAAATATCTCTGCCTGAATTTCAATTTGCTTAAAGGAATGAGTCAAATTTTTGAGTGTAGTTCTTCAGTCTACTTTAGATTTGGCCTCGGAAAGAGTCATTTCCCAGATTTATTTGAACAAATTTTTCCTCTTTATGTATCTGTATTATTTAGAGATATCTGTCCAGAATTCTAGCTGAATATCAGAAAAGAAGTCTGTTAAATATTTTCCTAAAGGGTCACAAAGTATTATGGTTTTAATTCTGATAGTCTTTCATGATGCTTCTTTTTAGTCTCACATTTGGGAAACATTTGGTTTTTTTTTTTATTTTGGGGTGTTTCTGAGACATCCATTCTTTTTCACATTTGGTGACTATGAATTTGCTTGAAGATGACATGGATTTTGTTTTGGATAGTTTTTTGCCCTGGGAAAAAAAGGTAGCTCTTATCACAATATTACATCACGAAAATGTTCAAGATGAAGGGAAAAATGACTGTTCAACTTACTCAAGATCTTGTGGCAAGATAAAATTGCTTAATAATAGATTGAAATTCTAGACTGAAACTATCATCTATCTGCCTGTCTATCTGTCTATCATCTATCCATCCCTCTATCCATCCACCTACCCACTCACTCATCTATCTATCTATCTATCTATCTATCTATCTATCTATCTATCTATCATCTAGCTACCTAGCTTTCTGTTCTACTCATTTATATGGATTGTTTTAACCCCATCTTCATTGCTTTATAAGTAACTCAAGGTAGCAAATACTATCTAATATTCCTTCCTCCTCCTATTTTCTCAATAACCCTGTGAGATTCCAGCAAGTTGTTCCCTTCAAATTTATAGTCAGTCTAATCTGTTGATCACCTGACTCATTGTACATTTCTGTGGTAAAATTTGAAAAGTGCAATGTCACCAATTTTAAATTATCACTAGCATATGCTCTTTTACATTTTCAGATATTTGGTTACCCTATTGTATAGAGAAAAAACAGTTATGCCTGGAGCCACTTACCAGACTGAAAAAGGAAACCTTGTTGGCCAGATCTGACTTTTGCCATCTTTGGCATTGTCATACAAAATTATTTGCTATGAAATAATAGGATTGTTGGACATATGTGTCATTTTATGCTCTACCCAGCAAAATGACACATCTAGTTCACCACACTATATAATTTAAATAAAGTTATACTTCATACTTCATAATTGTCTCCTTAACATGCCCAGATTTAATTTGGATTAAAAAAAACTCCCTGCTTCAATAGTTTTTTCCAAATTTATGTTTTTACAATTGTAAATTATATATATATATCTTTTTTTTGTTTAATAAAGGAGAAAGGGATAACTCAGATGAGAAATAACTGCTTCATCTAATTAAAAGAAAGACTCCAGAAATTTCTGGACTTTCAAAGACATGAAAACTGTAATAGTGGATTCATTCCATTATTAGTTTCAAGTTAACAGAAAGGGAGGAGATGGTTTCATTTCTAAAGGGATTAGCAAAATCCCAATATAAGTCTTTTTAGGCAAATTAAAACTTCCATATATGAAACTTAGTGAAGACAATTTTCATTTATTAGTTTCCATCACTCCCAAGGAGACAGCAGTGGGTCTGATAACTGCTTAGATTCTCATCATTTATAAGCTTCATTAGTCTTCATGCAGGTCTAAAATTCAGAGTGACTAGCACAATGCATGTCATGGGCGACCCTTGATTTATAGAGGTTGCAAGGGAGCTTTGAGGAATGCAGCCCATGAAAAGGAGAAACTGTGTGAAACTGATGGATGAATAAGATCTGGAAAACAGGAAGCTTCTATGAAAAGTTGAAGAGCGAGCTGCTAAAAAAAATGGGTGAGAGGAGAAATCAAAAGGCTTTGTGCGGTAATTCTGTTTTCATAATACCAGCAAAATACATTGTTTATTTTGATATCAAATGTGATTAATGAGCTCAAGCTGGTGAGAAAGGACTCCTACAAGGACATTCATTAGCTGATCCTTAAATCAGGGTATGTGCAATGGGCTATGCACAAGAGAATATAGATATCTACCAAGAATGGTCATAGCTGTTGAGGATTCTGAAATAATGTCCTAAATTTACGAACAAAAAGAAAGAGATAGTTCAAACAAATCTCAATACTTCTGAAGCAGAAGTTGATAGGATAGGTGATGGTTTCTCTTTTAGCACATATGAGCTTCCTGCATTTGTTGACTTTAATATTTTAAGAACTATTTAACTTTTTAAAAAAAATCAATAAAAATATTACGTTAACATGTGGAGAAATAATATAGCTTTACCCCACATAGACATCCTTAAACATAACATGATTACCAATTTGGGGAAGGAGAATTCTAAGGAATTCATAGTCTTCCCAATAGATAATACAAACAAAGAAGCTGCTGAGATTTGATAAGTTATAATGATATGCAAGCACTACTTGTAGCTTCTGTATCTGTTGAAATGTTTACCATTACTTTACATTTAACTCTTGGCCAATTTGGAAGTCCTGCAAAGCTTGCCTAAAAACAGATGTTAGATCTTCCCAGCCCTCAAATCTGATCAACCTTCAATGTGCACAACTATGCCTTGGTGATCCATCTTTACAAAACATACAGTGTACTTTTCATAACATACTTTCCCACATACTTCACAAACCACAAAAAGTGTTAATCAACAGTAGGTCTTCCACGTCCTTCAAAAGGCATCCTTAGTTATTAGTTTGGAAGAAGTCAATAACCTCAGGAAAGCAAAGGCATGCCAAGCTAGAAAGTTTTCTCCCTCACGCTTTAATTTCAATTGTAAGACACTTTAGTAATTAGCAAAGTGCCCCTATTCTGAAATGACTTGTCCAGAATTTATTGTAAGTAACTGCAGCTTATGGAGGTGGATAGATTGCTACACAGCGAAATAGCTCAGGGTTTTACAGAACTGCAGAAAAAACAATTGCCACCAACCTGCCTTCCATTGAGGACCTTTTTACTGCATGAGTCAAAAAGAGGGCTGTGAAAATATCTATAGATCCCTCACATCCTTAACTTATATTGTTTCAATTTCTACCCCCAAAATGATACTACAGGGCACTGCACATCTCAAAACTAGACACAAGGACAGTGTTTTCCTGAATGCTATCACTCTGCTAAACAACTAATTCCCACAACACTCTCAACTTATTTACTAAGACTGTATTACTATTATTTCTCCACTACTAGATTATAATAACATTTCCTAGTACCTATCTCTTCCCACTTATGACTATAATAGTATTGCTTGTATCTTTACAATTTATATTGTTTCATTTGTTTCCTAGTATGATTTGATTGCTTATTAGTAAACTATGACTATCATTATTTATTTATTTATTTATTTTATTTATTTTGTCAAGCAATTATTAGATAACAGGTGTAAGTATAAACACGATTATGAATACATGAAATAGATACAAATAAGAAAAAAAGAAACAATAGGCCAGGGATGGTAGGCACATTGGTGCACTTATGCACGCCTCCTACAGACCTCTTAGGAAAGGGGTGAGGTCAATGGTAGACAGTCTAAGGTTAAAGTTAAGTGTTGTATCTTATGATTCTTGATGAATGTATTTTCCCCTTTATGTACATTGAGAGTACATGCACCAAAAACAAATTCCTTATGTGTCACACTTGGCCAATAAATAATTCTATTCTGTTCTATTTTACTAGACCATCTGTTAGATAGTAATGGTGAGATGTCAAAGCATGCAGTCATTAAGTACCATATATTTCCAATATTTGAAGCTGTTTGATGATAAGCAATCCCCTGACATTAAAACTTTTATTTCTAGAAGGTCTTGGGAAAATATCTAACCCAAGCCCAACGTTAATATGGAGTGACAGAGTTTATAATGTATTTATTTCAGAAAAGCAGTTCAACCTCAAGCAAGAAAAGGCAGCAATCACTTTCAGGAATGTTCATCCAATCCAATGGGTCTTCTGCTAACCTCAAAAGAGATTAATTGTATAGAAAGATGAATCAAACATGAACCATCTGGGTGCCCTACTGCTGGAAGAAGAACAGTCCTCATTAATAACCTTTTCACATTCTATAAGTGACAAGCTCTCTGGTTAAGTGGTTATTTATTGCTATTAACCAATTTATCCCAACCTGGCAACTTTCAAATATGTTGAGACCACAGATGCTAGCACAGTTAGAATTTCTGGCAGTTGTGATCTTATATTCAGAGTTCTGGATTATAGGGAGCTACATGGAGTTGTGCAGCACACGTCCTC